ACGCAGCAACGAAAACCCAACACAGCCAAAAATAAATAAATTAAATAAATAAATTTATTAAAAAAGACATAAAAATTATTAAAAAAATATATATATATACCTAAAGTGTATTCAGGTATTTTACTACCTCACCTAGACTGATGTGAGCTGAATCCTTCTTTCAAAGTGAGGATTTTATAGACTTAAATATTAGCATTAAGTTAGGAGAAAGGAAGCTCTTTCTCCAAGACTAGATTCAATGGGGCCCTTAGACAATGGGGTCCACATCATTTAGCAAGATTGTCACTAGATTTGAACATTTCAGTGCTTATCACTTTTCCTCAGTTCCATAACTAATAATTCAGCCAACATTATACACTGAAGTGCCTGAACTGCCTGAATTCTAAGTTTTTAAACTTCTTCTATTCAACTTTTTATTATAGTAAATAATTTCTTACTCATTTACAGCCTGCCCCATCTAGTCTGTGTTTCTTCATATTCAGGCCATTCCACTAGAAATAAGAAGAAGACAGCAAAATGCCAAAACATCTTATAGTTACTGTGCAAGCAACAACTTTACACCTGCTGGGCTGAGCAGACAATTTAAGAGAACAAAGCACAATGAAGTTTCTATTTGCTATCTACAATATTTTCTTCTTTTTCAGTAATTCTGAATGCTTGTTTTAGGCAGCAAAGAAACATGGATGCGCAGGCAAGGAAGGGGAGGGGAGGGGTGAGGGCGGTTCTTTCTACCCCTGCAACAAGGGTTGTGGTTCACTGTGGCAGCGAACAACTTGCCTGCAGAATTACAGGCTCCACAGAAAGCCTCCATTAAGTGACTGCTCACAGAGTGCTGACAAGCACATTTACACCTACAGACAGTACTTCAGTGTGTGTGCACACGCACGCATGTGGTGTGAACAGTTAGGAAGCCCTGATGAAAGTATAGTTTAAATAATGAGAAACTGCCATTATTTTAGGTTAAAAAATAAATATCAGTGATTTCATACAGTTCAAACTGAATTATAAAGACAGTTATAGATTCTATATATATTTAATCTAGAGGTTTATAAACAGCTGCTGACATATCACAATTATGACACAATTTTTTAAAATCTTGTTTATAATTTTGGATCCCAATATTCATTTACTGAGTTGTTTGTTGGCAAATCTGTATAACTGCCTTTGTCTGGTGATCTAAGTTCCCATATTAGAGGCAATCACAATTAAAATAAACTTTAGGTTGGATACAGAAATAGTAATCCAATTATCTATTAGCTTCTGACTCTTAATAGACACAAGTTTGTTAGTCATCACACACACACACACACACACACACACACACACAACTACTCACTCATAATCTTCATCTATTCATCTTTGGGAAGAAGAAAATAATTGGAAGCACCCGAGTTACAAATGGTAGTTTGGTTCTAGTCATATAATTTAATTTACTAACAATTACAGCTGGATTAAAGGTAAAAACAAAGTAGTTCTCTTCTCTGATTATCTTCTTTGCTATATTTGCATCTTTTGTGTAAGTAAATTCTAGATTTGACATGAGAAGGTAGTGCACTAAGTCTTCAACTTACATGCTTATTTTCAAACTTAAATTTTTAAGCTAAGAAATTTCAGTAAGAGGAAGCCAGCATGAAAACCTCCTTGAAGACCAAGGAGACACGTGATAGACTGAACATTTGAAGCTACTGACAGCAAGTTAATCATAATACTCTGATCATGTAAGTATTCAGCTTTGCTAGTGCGGAAAATAACCTATAGTTTTTGTCATGATTTAAGGAAGAGAAAGGACAAAGAAGAAATTATCTATGCTAATTCTGTCAAACAAATTTTTTAAAAAATCCCCTAAACTCTGAGTCATTTTCCAAAGTGGAAAATCTAATTCACTGAAAAATACATGCATGGCTCTAATTTCAGGCAAGAAAGCTAAAGTGAACTATGGTGGTTCATGACTCAAGCCAAAATTTATGGCAGGGATGAAAGAGTTCATGGAAAGCCTCAGGAAATAATAGAAAAGCAATGTTCATTCTATTTCCAAATGGAGGTCAGCCTGGGTTCTCAGTATCATTTATTTCTAGGACTTAGCTTTTATCTGGTTTGCTATGATTTTCCAATCACTAGAGAGTCGGATAATTTCAGGGCAACAGATTTCACTTTAATAATATCTCTTTTTATTTTCACTATCTTTTACCTATTCTCTTCTGATCTGCTACATCACTCAGTTATTCCTCTATGTTCTCTCTCCCTACCTTATACCACACAATTGAGACCTCCTGCTCTGGGAAAATGACTCTATTTGAACTTTCCCACATATGGCTTACATTTTCTTTCTCTACCACCTGCAAAAGGTCTGGCACAATAAGTACCCAGTAATGATACTTGGAAAGCCCTTCATAGTTTTTTTGGGTTTTTTTTAAAGCCACTTTCAAAACATTGCTTGATATTCACCTCCTTCATTCATGGAGAGTCATTTAAGGTCAAATTCATCTGCATCTGTTTGTTCACTTAAGGTAGCCTTAGAATACATTCAAGTTTGCACTATGTAACTTGCTTTTACTGCCCTATTTCTTGATACAAGTATTCTTCAGTCTCATGTTTGTGTATGTTCTTTCTTCCTCCTGGGAAAATAATTTCTGATGCCTTTTATTTGTTTCGTACCACAATACCTAAAATAGCCTTCTACACACAGTATGTACTCAAAATACAGCTACGTGATACTTCTCTGAAAATTAAAATACTATCCACAAATATATTTTTATAATTTTAAATATTTAAAGATGCTAAACTGAATATATGCAGTTAGTTTCTTCTAACCCCTCCCTAAAATAACAGCAAAGATGGGTTTATTTTCTGTGTGTGTTGTTGTTTTTTTAAGGCCTGGCTTGCAAGGACAATAAGAACTGAAATAAAAAAGCAACAGAAGTTTGGGAGCTGACAAAGCAAAGAGACGACTGGTAACTGACTCTGTAGACTCTGTAAAGCTAAATCCTAAGCTAGACAAACAAAAAGCCAAAAGTCAACCCATCTGTAATATGAGATCCTTTTGAGGCTCAGAAAATGGCAGGACCAAGTATCTCTAGAATCAGAGTGAAGGCAGAGCTAAAACCACTTTCTGGAAGAAAGTTCATTGAAGAAGCCTAGATGCTGCCCTTCCCGCTTTCTGAAGTCCTCCCCTACTTCACAAGGCCACATGACTGATTCTCTCCTATTCTGGCAAAGTATCAGAATTTTGCTCTCTCCGTAGAGGGCAAAACAAAGGGTCTCTAGATTGGGTATATGTTATAGGCTGAACTGTGTCCCCCTCAATTTTCAACGTTAAAGTCATAACCCCCAGTACCCCAGAAAGTGACTATATTTGGAGACAGTATATTTTAAAAAGTAAGTTAAAATGAGGTCATTAGGGTGGTCCCTAATCCGATGTGGCTGACGTCCTTATAAGAAGAGGCAATAGGGACACAGACACACGCAGACAGAAGACCATGTGAACACAGCCATCTGTAAGCCAAGGAGGGGCCTCAGGAGAAGTCAACCCTGCCAGCACCTTAGTCTCAGACTTTTAGCCTTCAGATTGTGAGAAAATAATTTTCTGTTGTTAGGCCACCAAGTCTGTGGTACTTTTTCACAGCAGCCTTAGTAGACTAATATAGTATACTAGGCAAAAAAAAAAAAAAAAAATTAAGTTTACGGATATCCGAGCCTTATTTTCCCATATAACTTCTGAAATGCTGGATACAAGGTAGAAGACTGTTTACCCTAGAGACTCTGACAAAATACTGGCATCAGACTTTTCCCGAAGAAACCATCCAGCCACATAGTAAATATTACTGTCAACAAGCTACACCCACATGCACAGAGTTTCCAATCAGCTTTTAGAGTTCCACCCTGAAGTACGAGCAGATGGTCAAGGATCAGCAGACATTCAAAGAAAGCATCTAATATGAAAGACGGACCAAAATAAACAAACTGTAGGAATAGAGGCTACACAGGGAGACAAAAACTCTCAAACACTATAATTCTAAAAAAGAGAAGATAGAAAATAGGATGCTAGAACAAAGGAACAAAAATCAAAAGAGTTCTCCAAAGTTAAAAATATGAGAGTAGAAATGAGTAACACAACAGCAGAGCTGGAAGACACAGCTGAAGAAATCTCCCAAAAAGTAGAAGAAAAGGACAAAATTGAAAATGAGAGAGAAAAGACAAGCTAATTAGAGAACTGGTTAAGAAGGCTTAAAGTAAGACTATTTCTAGAAAGTAAGCACAGACCATGGAGGGAAGAAATATCAGTATTCCCCAGGCCCGAGGGTCTTAAGTTTCCATAATGGAAATATTAGCAAAGAGGATGAATATTCGGCACAGAAGTTGAAAGCAGACCCCCCATTAAGGTATATCAAACCGTGAAATTTCAAAACACCTGGAAGAGGCAAATCCTACCAGTTTCCAAAGAGAAAACATGGAGTGCATTCACTTTGTGAAAATTCATCAAGTAGAACACTTGTAATATGCACCTTTGCCTATAAATGTTATAGTTACATAAAAAGCTTTAAAAAATAAAGAAAGGAAGGAAATGAATGGTATCATCCTTTAGGAATAAACTCAGAAACTGGTTTAGGTAAGCAGAGAGACAGTAAATATGCCTTCTCTAACAGAAAAATCTAGATGTGCCTACAAGACATAAACTTAACTTGTTTTTGCACCTTTTATAAAAAAAAAACAAAACCTCAAGGAGTGAATGGTTGGACAAGAGTTTAAGTGGGTTTCTCCATTTAGGTATCATTACCTAATGATCTTTGTTATGTCTAAACATTAGATAGCAGAGTCAGAAATTTAATTTCTGCTTTAAGAAAAAAAGGAGGATAACAGACACAATGTCCCTTTTCAACTCCTTAGAGAGAGATACAAGGACCCTTTGGCTCACTGCAAGTGGCCATCCAAACTCTGATACAACTGAGCCACTGACACAACATTTTCATTAACCCAGGACTCAAAATAATAGCACAACCTACCTGTATCTTTCTTTGGAATAAGTGAATTATGATTCTCCAGGGGATGATCAAGGCATTTCCAAGAAGTATTCTCTTTTTTCTTCAGGACAATCTCTATTTTTCCCACATTCTCAACAACTCACACTGAAAAGAAGATAAATTCCATTTGTATTCATTGATATTAAATATAAGGTTTTACTTTTAAACCAATCTTTCTCAAACAACCCACATGTCCCAATCAGATATGAATGACACTGAGCATTTGTGAGATAAGTAAAATTTTGTGTACATGCTCAATTTTGTTCATAAACAAAATTGTTTATGCCTTATATGGTGTTAAATCCAGTTTACGTTAGATTCAGATTAACTTCTTTCAAATTAATTTATCAAGGGCCAAACTAATACATAATGCTAATTTTCATACAAGCTCAAATAGAGCCATGGCAACTAATTAACACATAGCTTAAAAAAAACCCTTAAATATACAAATTAGCCATTGAATGGATCCACAAAAGCAAATGTAATTTATACTCTTTAAACAGTTCTTGGGATCTGAGGGGTTCTTACGAGTGAATTCAGGAAACCAATATTGAGCCTAATAAACATAGAAAAAGCTTCAGGAGAATGAATCCCAATAAAGTGCATGTCAATCTTTGATAATTAAAAATCTTTTAGATTCTCTTTTTATTTTTGGAAGTTTAAAATAGTTTAGAATACATGAGTACAATAATAAAATAAACTTTTAAAATTGATTAAATTTTATGAATTGAATGTGCTTTTAAAGATCTAAAGTATATTTCATTTTGTCTTTAGAAACAATCTGCCCTTCCTCACTGTAAACACATAATTCAGTAGCAATTTAACAACTTTTAAACACAGATTAATCAAATAAATTCAATTCAATGAGCACTGATTTGAAGCTTAACAAACATAAGAAGTCCTTCACTTTAAAGAGCTTAAATTATAGAATTTATAGAACTTACTATGGTATAAAGAAAAGGGAAGGTATAGAACCGGTGTAAGGTACCCTGACAGTACTTTAAAACAAGAAACCACATGTATATATGAATATAGAATGGAATATTATTCAGCCTTAAAAAAGGAAGGAAATCCTGCCACTTGCAATGACGTATGATAAATCTAGAGGGCATTATATTAAGTTAAATAAATGAGACAGAGAAGACAAATAGTGCATGGTATCATTTATATGTGGAATTTTAAAAAAAAGTCACACTCATAGAAACAGAGAGTAGCAAAATAGTGCCAGGACTTGGGGCAGAGGGAGGGGGGAATAGAGAGAGCTTGATAAAAGGGTACAAACTTTTAGCTATAAGATAATTAAGGTCTGAGGATCTAATGTATAACATGGTGACAACAGTTGATGACACTGTCTTGTATAATTGAAATTTGCTAAGACAACAGAACTTGTGTTCATATGCATACACACACACACACACAAAGGTAAATATGTGAGGTGATGGATGTGTTAATTAATTAGATTGTGTGAATCTTTTCACAGCATATACCTTTATCAAATCATAACGTTGTACACTTTAAATCTTTAAATATATTGTACTTTTGTCAATTATATTTCAATAAAGCTAAAGAGAAACAAAAAAACAAGAAGCTACCATTCTCTGATGTCTTCTATTGCTAAACAGCTGTGTAAAATCCACATTGTGTATTTACATGCAGAAATATTCATAATTTTATGTGCTCTGTCAATATCAAATATTTGAATATATACACCTAAGAAAAATTTGTCTGGTCTGGTCAAGTATATTTCTACAAGCTGCATGTCAGGAGTAGTGCTGGAAGGAAGAATGGGGACAGGATTTTTTTTGCTAAGGAGAGGAAAAGGAAAGGGCAAAGAGATGAGATGAAAAAGGGGAAAGAAAAAAGGCGTGAGAGGAAGAAACCAGAGGGAAAAGAGTACATTTAAAAATTAATGTATTTGCTTGTATAGAAAACATCATGTCCTTGTCTGCAACATGAAAATATACAAATGAATAATAAGACAAATGCTGTCTCCCCCCCCATGTGTGTGTGTATGTATATGTGTGTGTGTATATGTACATAGATAAATTATTTTTGGTAGCTTACCAGAAAAATCTTCCTGAATTTCATGACTTAGGGCTGGAGAAAAAAAAAAAAATTCAGTTAAGATCCAACTTCAGTTCCTATAGTCTACAAACACCATATAAGATCACTTAAATGGTTCTTTCATGCACCATTTCAAATCTCTCAAACATATCCTGAGAAATCAAAAGAAAGAAACTGAACACAACCAAAATACTGTATACAATATTTTGAGACAAATTACTTAAATATGTATCATCAATTTTTCCATTTCTCTCCCTATTAATTAAGGAGTAAATACTCAATTGCCCACAGGTGGATAACCCACACTGGTGCAAGGACAGTCCCAGATTGACAATGCTACAAACCAAGACAGGAGCAAGGCAGGGAGAGATAGCACGTGAAACACACATACTCCAGGGTGTGCATGTGCGTGTGTGAATACAGGCCAGGACTGGGTCTAGCTCAGCATTTCCTTTCTTACTGTTCTCTAAGTTGAATATTCATTCAGTTATTGAAAAAGAAAATTATTGGGCATTTTCCAATAATTTGGAAAATTATGTGTTATGCACTTTCCAGGTGTTACAGTCATCACAGTTAGTAAAAGAGAAAAATCCCTGCTATTATGGAGCTTCATTCCAGAAGGGGGTGATGCAAGAAGTATTTTTACAAACATCTGCTCTAAAGTTCACTGTGTTAATATAGGTATGTGGAACTTAAGATTCTGCATTATTTTACTCCTTCTGATCTAATATTAGCAACCAGGAGTATCACATTTTTGACTGTGGAATTTTTGTTTGTTTTTTATATGTGTACAAGATACAGTTAGCTACAGTGTGAACAGAACTAGCCATAAAGTATTTGAAACATAGTAAATGCTGACACATAGGTCTTCCTTAAAGAAAAATCATGACAGAGCTAATGAATAATGTATACTTTTCTAGGCATCTGAGTTTTTGATTAAAATTCTCCCTAAGAGACAATATATATTAGATCTTATGCTAGCAAAAAATAGGGTAGCATGTATTTCTAGAAGAAATGTTTAAGATTTGAGGTTGATTAGTGAATGGGGGGGAAATAAGAAAGAAAAAGCATTTAACAACTCCAATCAAATTCAGGACTAAAGGTCCTTCATTAACATGGTAAAGCCATGAGTTGAATCGCGAGTCATCTGAGGCCTGGAGAATTTCAGTCTCTGTTTTGCAAAAGTAAATGAAACGTTCTTTACATAAGAATGTGTGCTTAAAATACAGTTTTCTTCTTGCTGTTTTGGTTTGTTTCGTTTCTACTTTCTAACTAGAATAACATTACCCTCTTTAAAGGAGGAAAGGATGAACTCCTAGAGTCATTATGGGTGAGAAATGGATTAAGAATCTGCTACCTTGATTCTAGATTTTAGTCCTGATTTCTTTCCCCTGATAGATCTGTAACCTCTCAAAACAGACAGAAGTGAACTGTATGGTAGGTCTTTGCCCATGAAGGGACAGGCAGCTGAAGGGTACAGTATAACCTTGCGGCTGGCAAGAGACAGGCCGATAGAACAGCGCCTGGTGATGTCTACTCAGCGGAAGCACATGACAGGCAGGCCTCCGGAGATTTATTTGTAGGTAAAGTTACAGAGTCTTACAAAGCTGGGCCAACAAGTACTTCATATGATTATTGATTTTGATCGCACCTAATTGTTTAAACTTGGGAAAAGTGAGGTTGTACTGCCATTTGCTAGCGCTTTCCTTAGTATAAAGAAATAACAGAAAAAAAAAGATCAAAAATGACAAACCAAAATGACAATGGCACATAAAATATTATAGGTACAAAGACTCTACACCAGTAACTACTATACCTAAAGGAAACAAAAGTTGTTTCCATTAATACAGAATAAGGTACTTACCAATATGTATAAGATATGAATAATCCTTGATAACTGTTTCTGCTCTAAAGGAATCATCCCGGTGATCAGCTATTACTGAGTCTAAATTGATATCCTTAAATGGAAATCAAAAAGAGAAAGATTAAAAAGTAAACTTTTCGCCAAACTCCTATCACTATACTTTTAAGCTGATCAGTGAAAGTTCATATGGTACTTATTTACAGAACCCACAAGGTAAATACACATTATTCCTGTTTTTTTCTCTCATACAACCCAGTTCTTCTCCTTCAAAGTATATATCACAATTTTAACTATGCATTTGTCTATGCTTAATGTCTACCTTACACACTCGTCTTTAAGCTCTAAGTGTAAGGGGCAGAATATTGTCTTCAGAATATTGCTCAGCACCAAGTAGGTGCTCAAATATTTGTTGAATAAATAATTTGGAAAAAAAATTAGAATCAGACAAGAAGCCAAGATATCTGTGTTCATTTTTATCTTTCCACTATTATGTGACACTGTGCAAATAACACAACCTCTTAGGCTCAGCTTATCAAAAATAATAATAATAATAAATTCACTAACAAATTTTTAGATGTCTCTAATTTCTACATAGCTTTGGTGCAAGTTATTTTGGTGCCTATCGTTTACACCATACACTGAATACATTATTACACGTAGAAACCTTCCCCCTTCCCTTAATCATCCATCCTCTGCGCTTCACTGATATCACCAATGAGAGCACACAGACCCCAACCTTGCCAGGCCCTGTCCTCTTGGTTCAGGACTGCTTGGTTAGGAGACAATACCAAGAGGGAGTGGAAGGCGGGACAAGCAGTGCCTCTCTGGGCCTCTTGGCTCTTGCAGGCAGAGGCTGGTCACTCCTGCGGAGCCATCAGATCCTGCTGCAGGCGTAGGAGGCACTCACCAGCTCAGATGTGGTTCTGCTACTACAGAAGTAACATGAGTTCTCAGAAATTCCTAGCTGCCAGAACTTGTCTTTAAAGCTCCACAGTTCCTCAAGTGTGGGAACCTTGCCAGTTGCTGGAGGATGTGTCTGGAGACGTTGTAAGTTGCCTGCTTATTTATCTGATTTCCCAGCTGGACTGTAAGCCTGGTAAGAGTTCAGCCTCTATGAATCTGGCCCATCATTAGATTCCTGAATTCTACGATGGTGTTGAAAATGAAGCAGGGATTCAATAAACACTTAGTGAATGAATTAACTCCTTAATTTTAGTTTTCAGAGGGCATTAACTGAACCCCATTAGTGGCTTAAGCATACTAAGCTCCAGCAGTACAGCCTCTCCTGGCTCTTGAATTCCAATTTAAGTGCAGGAAATTAGTTCGTATGGTGAAGTTAAACCGGGACTCTCACTGCTGTTATCCATGCTTAAACACAAAAAAAATCACAGAAGAGCACATAAAATATGCTTCTTCCTAGTCTATTTTTTCCCTAAGATGCTATGGCATGATTGTTAAGAGCATACAACTATGGAGCCAGCCTGCCTGGGTTCAAAATGCTAGATCTGCCACTTACCGTGTGGCTTTGGGTAAATTACTTAATTTCTGTTTCCTCATCTGTAAAATAGGGATAACGAAAGGATCTACCTCACAGAGTTGCTGTAAGTTAATACAAGAAGAGCTCTTAGAAAAGTACACC